CTTTTCAAACAGAGCGTGAGGGCATAAGTCTTCCCTGCCCTACTCTCCACATGCACAAAAGACAAAGAAGATGGCAATGTATCTTTCCATGTTCTAGTGGAGGATTCGGTCTCATTTTGCACATTTGGAGAGTAGTGCAGCGAATTCGTGCGAGTCGGGCGCTAGCTGAAAAGCTCTCCGAATTTGTGATTCTTGGTTCGCTACTGCTGCTCTAACTAAAGACTCTCCAGACTCCAATTGGTGAGTGCACTGCCGTCTTCACCCGAATAGGGCGCCTGGTCATTATCTCTGCATCTGGACTGAAAAATGCCCCAAATCTGGACTGAAAAATGCCCCAAATACAGGTATACTCACCGGGCGTTATTTGGGTGAAGACGGTAGCAGGCAGGGTGACATCACTAGAGGACAAGGCGTGATTTGCACTTTGTCCGCCCAGATTTGCACTTCGTCCGCCCAGACTCTAGGCATACTCTCCGAATTTGGAGCGTTCTGGAGGGTCGGATGGATGTCCGTCCGTAAAACCACCATTGCAGGCTGAGCACTGTCCAGCAGCGGAGTGTGCTTTTCAACGGCAGTTTCTGACAGCTATCCGAAAGTTTCTGAGGGGTGGAATTGCATAGTTAGTGCAGCGATAAAACACTCTCCGCATTCGGAGAGTCGAGAGTAGTGGTGGTGCACAGTAAAATGGGAGCTGCAGGAAGAGATAAAATAGAAAACACAAAGATGGCCAAACTAAGGAAAGTGTGAAGTTGGAAGGGGGGGGGTAAGTGAAAAAAAGTAAGGAAAGTGAAGAAAGAACTGCACAAGGAAAAGGCAAAGGCAATGTTACGGTTGTGTTTTTTCACATTTTTTCATGCCGTCTCCTATAGAAGATTCTAAGGTAAAGCTGTGTCAATTTCGGATCACCTCATCTGAGTCGGAAAGGGGTTGTTGTGGTGACCGTTTACAACCCACGTTTTCTGCTATAGGGGTATACTGTTTCAATATCCGATCTACATATTATCTGGGCGGAGAAGGGGCTGTTGTGGTGACAATTTGCAACACACGCATGCTCCCATGGGAATACACACTCCACACCTGCACTCAAATTCACATGTTGTTTGTTGGTCTTTGTTTCCTCTGTTTTCCCGGTGTCTAATTGCAGCACCCTCAAGATGTGCCATTAAGTCAGTGCCTGTTTTTTGGGAATTGCCTGCAACAGTTTGTAGGGGGGATGGCGTGTTTGAAATGCCTGTTGCCATTGTTTCTTGGCAGTGACAGATTCAGTTATGGCTTTCTGATTCTTAATGGTTGTGTGAATCTACAGTTTGCACGTTTTTCCGTATGATGTCAGTAGATGTCAGGTCGCCTTCAAGTTGATACCTGTGGGTTTCTGTGTCGATGGTGTTGTCCTGCTCGCCTTCCCGCCCTTCTGACCAATCCCCTATAGCATATTGTGTGCGTTGCTATATGCTGCCTAGCCTCTAGCATGTTGCGTGCCTTGCTATATGCTGCCTAGCCTATAGCATATTGCGTGCCGTGCTATATGCTGCCTAGCCTAATAGGCATATTGCGTGCCTTGCTATA